TCTCTCTCTCTCTCTCTCTCTCTCTCTCTCTCTCTCTCTCTCTCTCTCTCTCTCTCTCTCTCTCTCTCTCTCTCTCTCTCTCTCTCTCCCGTCAAGCCGAGCGCAGCAACCACCACGACGACCACAAAGCGCTCGAAACCGTCGCATCGAAACATCACCGCAAGAAGCAGCACACGATTGCAAAAGCTGGACCGACGACAACCGTTAAGATTGTCGAGCAGCCCCGGACTGGACGGCCCGATAAAAGTTTCGAGAATCATCTGTCGTAGATCCCCGAAAGGTCTATCGGGCCGTCCAGCCCGGGCCTCGCCGGTCTGGCCCGCCCCAAAGGCCTCATGCCGTGTCTTTCGGGCCCGCCTACCGGTCCCACCGCGTTTCCCAACATCGGAAAGCGGGATCTCGTGGGAGCGTTACGCGAGACCCGCTATTCGCATAAAGAGTGTTAAGGAAAACAAAAACAAAACCAAGGTAAAAGTGAATTCGTCTTACTTCGTAATATTTACACCAAAGGATTTAAAACGACATATATCACGAACGTTGGATACTTATACAGCAACAAAAAAAAAAACAACGGAAAACCTAAAGATGAATTTCACGAGAACGGAAGTTAGAATGAGGAAACCGGACAACTCACCTGGATACTCTAGTAGATATATCAACGCATAACCTTTTGGAGGATGAATTGTCAGAGGATTTGGTGACCAGATGGAAATCGGACGGCAAGGCAAGGGAGGAGCACGGAATAGCCGAAATCCAATACTCGAAATACTCATCGGGGGCGAAGGAATGAGGGAACCGGAAGAAGTACATGGATTATTCAGCGGATATAGAAACACAAAAAATTCCAAGGATATTTCTGCAACCAGGAGAAATTCGGGACGGCAGAAGGCAGGAGCGACGACGAGCATACAATGAGGAGAGGAGACTGCAGGGACTGTGAAAGCCAGATAGGGAAGTATTCAGACCGAAGATATATATACTGTGGATAATGGCTTAAAGGATTACTTGAGCAGAGAGGTAGAAGGGTAATCTCGACTTTGCGAGTCGCATGCCATGGACAGGACGTGTATTCTGTGAAAGTAAAGCCTCGCACGTGTTGTCCAATATTGCAAGTGTGTATCTCAAAGCACGATGTTTTGAACTCGTGGGAAGCACCTGTGAAGATCGACACCGATTCAAGGTTGGTACCTCGTACACCATACAGGACTTTGTTTTATCGTGGATTTTGTGCTACCAACGTTCGTCTTAGTGGTTGCAGTTGTTGCATTTACGCGGAGTTGTGTCCGCGATTACTTTTGGCGCTAATACTGGAGCCGATTTATGCGATGGAGATTCATTCTATCCTATACTTCCGGTGCCTTGTAGGACTTATCGGTCATTGATCTTATCTTGGATGGATTTGTTGGCGGATGGACAGTTGTATTCTCGTTTTGTCTCTGCAATTTTTTAGTCACTCGATGTATTATACACTATTTTTCGTATGGTTGTTATCATCCGATGAGTGTTCCATGCGATATCGTCTTGTGGAGGAATGACACCCAAGGTACCGAGTACTTCAGGGAAGATGACGCGGTCGCGTTCATCGTCGCCAAGACTGAGGCGCAAACACTCCTCATCATCATCGTCATCAACGACGCCAGGAAGGAAGCGGATCAAGCAGGGAAGATCCAGGACACCAAGAGATCGGAGACACAGATTAATGTCGGCGTCAGTAAGGAAGAGAAGAGAGGAATCTGGGTCACCTAGGAGATTCAGACGACAACAGTGGGAACAAAGATCAGACGACCGAATGGAGCGAACATAACAACAAAGACGAAGTATTGATTTCGGATATGAGTCATTGTCAAACTCACGATTCCTCCGGCTTCATTACACGGATCTGATGGAACTGTGCAAGATTCATAACATCAAGTACAAGGACAAACCTCAGACCATCTCCGCCCTGCGTAGAGTTCCTGGACTGGTAACCTATGAAGGGAGGGATTTCATGCATGATTCCGACCTCGAAACGCAAATCAACCCGGAAGACATCAAGCACGATGCCTCAAGCTATGAAGATAGCGAAGATGATGACACGGATTCCAGCGACGATGATGAGGACTCATCATCCACTTCGTCAAGCGGCCAGGACATATCGAGTGGGTAGAACGGCCAGAGCCGACGGATTGTCTCACTATTGGGAAAAATGTGCGTATAATACGCCGTATATATATATATATATATATATATATATATATATCGTCAAATAGAACTGCCCGGTAAACCGTAGGCAGAGAGGGAGAAGAGGACAACAAACGAGGGGCTGTGACAAACTGTTTCGTCGGAGTTTCACCGACTATATATATATATATATATATATATATATTGTCACATAACTATTGACTAAGAGCGTAAGCACGTGAAGTAGAAGAAGAAATAAGATGCGAAAAAAAGAAAAATGAAAGGACAGACAGGCAAAGAGACAGACAAACCAGAATGACACAAAACAGTGTCCTCTTATTCTTTGTTTCACAGTATTATTATTTCTTTCGGTGTTTTACAAAAGAAAATTACACTGAATCAAAGGATAAAAATAAAAAACAAAGACACATTAAAATCATTCAGTTTCTCAATCTTTTTAACGCCTCCTCCACTATGTCTCTAAAATATAAGGCTCGCCATGTTGATGAAGTTGAGCGCGAGTTGCCTCTATCCCCGTGGGCCATAACAACCCATTTGCACACTATGGGAAAGAGGCAGAGTGAAGGAAGAGGTGTTAAACATAAGGAAGAGAGGAGCAGAAAAGGAAAACTGATAGGACAGAGGGAGAAAAAATAAAAAAAGTGACCCAAACATCTTCTTTCTTTCACTGCATTCTTCGTTCTTTCACAATTTTATAGTTTTTGTGAAGAGTCTACCACGTTCGCTTTTCAGCACACCTGCACTTCCTTCTTCATTTTTCATCTTCATTTTCACCCTTCATACTTTTCTTTTGAGGGTGTTAGGGTGCAGGGTACAAACAAAGTAAGATGACACAAACTTATGTTCTTCTTTTACTGCATTCTTCACAGTTTTGCAGGTTTAGTGAAGGGTTCCTCACCTTTGCACATTCTTGTACACTCTTTTCAGCGCACCTACACATTTTTGTCAGGGTGCAAGGTACGTCTAAGTAAGACCTCACGACAGATAGGACAACTGTCATAAGGATGCAAACGAATATATAGTATAACATCGAGAGTAGAGCTACTCGTTAACACGGGACAAATGAAAAACTGCACCACCTATAACAGACTGTAATGATTATAATAATTGCAAATCAAAATAATAATTATAATAATTGCAAATCAAAATAACAAGACAAGGGAGATGGCATGCATAAATTCATTCGAGAAATGTTACCACTCATCGCTGAAGTTGGAATCCACATCAGATACGAAAAGCATAGAATAATGGAATTATTTGAAAACAAAAATTACAAAAATGGATCATGAACCCCTCCTGAAATGTACGCATAAACTTAAGAATGAAGCTACGCTCCGGAAGGGGTTGTTAAGCTTTCTCTCTCTCTCTTCGGTCTATCCGTCATTTCAGGAGTGTCGGTTCCGTGAACACCAAACTTGACCGAAGTACTAACAATCATCGGCACCCTACATAGAATGGTAGCAAATACGTATGACGTGAAGGATCTACTCGTCGTAATGAAACTATATTGTATGGAGCTCAGACTATTAGAAAACCCTTGGAAGATAACACGTTCGACATTCCTGGCCTTTGCCAGAAACTGTAAAGACAACGCAGTGCTTAAAATCTTCCTTGATTTTTTGGAAACGAAAGACATAAAACATTGGAAAATCAAAGGTACCACAAATGAATAAATAAATGAATATTGAATGTCCATGAAGATATAAAAGTAGACAACCTTCTACCATATTAAATTCAACAGCAATCATTAAAACACCTGAGGACATGTACAAAGATAACACGTTTGGAGAACTTTGCTCTTAAAAATCATTGAAAGCCATCGACAAAAGGAAAATGAAGATTGGAAGAACTTGGCCAAAAAAATCGAGATCGAAATATAAAGCCACTTCGACGATGAAAATTCGGAAGAAAACCTAGGGACATAACCACCAAGCAGTCACAAAAGGAGTGGAAGGGTAATGCTTGTCCAAGAACCGTAAGTGCAATCGTTTTTTGCACCTCGTGATATTCCATCAGTGAAAGTACAATGATATGTTCGTGAATAAATACAAATAAACAAAAACAAAAACAAAAACAAAAACAAGGCAAAAGTGAATTCGTCTCACTTCGTAATATTTCCACCAAAGGATTTAAAACGACACGTATCACGAACGTTGGATACTTATACAGCAACAAAAAAAAAAAAACGGAAAACCTAAAGACGAATTTCACGAGAATGGAAGTCAGAATGAGGAAACCGAACAACTCACTTGGATACTCTAGTAGATATATCAACGCATAACCTTTTGGAGGATGAATTGTCAAAGGATTTGGTGACCAGATGGAAATCGAACGGCAAAGCAAGGGAGGAGCACGGAATAGCCGAAATCCAATACTCGAAAA